TTCAGATCACGATTGCGATTTTAAAAGCTTTTGAGATAGTTTTAGTCGAATGAGGAGAGTAGACAAAACACCATTAGCAACTTCATCTGTTGCTGCATTGTCTAAGGGATTGACGCTAAAGTTAGTCCTCCCTGATATTGCTGCGAGATCGAACTTGAAAATCATTTAATAAAGTGCAAAACTATTTAGAACCGGTCTCCACTCTATTTTTGTATTTTAAATGATCTGAGAAAATTTAGGTTTCCCTCAGATCTTTGAGGCACCCCTGCTAATCAAGAGGGTGAACTGACATGGACTGGTCGTATCTGGCGATTGATCAAGAACTTCCAGTGTAGTACCATCTGAGGTGGCAGACAAACAACCCCAGGATGGTATCTGCGATGAGTGAGGTTCCCTTCCTGAGATTTGACTTTCAGGACCTACAAACTGACGCACCGTGGATTGACTTGGGACAGCGAGTCCAAGTATCTACTGGCGTATGGAGACGATTACGGGTAAGGAGCGGTTGCTTCATTACGGTTTTGACTACCCTAGCCGTAGTGGGTTTTTTGGGAATCCGGATTCTTTGGCACTAACGGGGGAAGGGGCTGTCGGGTTTGAGAGTGCCAGTATGGGGGTCGAAAGAAGTTTTTTAAGGACGTTTGAGAATTTAACAAAATGAAAACGAAGCTAATCTAACGAGTACGAGCTAGAACACGTTAAAAACCTTCGATTACTTCAGAATTCATCTCCAACCAATAATTTTTCAGGCGTGGCGCCTGCACCGCCTGCCGCCCGGCCCCTCCCCCACCCCCTCGTCTTCTCAAGCCTGTTAAAGGCCAAGGTAGATTTAATTTTTGTAATAAGTAGGTTCTGCTTATTTTTGTATTTCGCGGTGTATTAGAAAAATGATTCCAACCGAAATTAGGCCTAGTCAATGCTGTCAAGTAGACCTCGAAGTAAATGTTCGACGTCGGCAACTTTAACGCCTTGTTTTAACCAGGAAAAAGTTACCTTAAAAATCCAAAATTCCTGCGATTTCGCTGGTTCGACAGCTAGACCATCCATTTTTAAGGTGCTGGACTGTCGCGGGGGGATTTTTGCGGGGGCGGGGGATTCCTATAATTCTTTACGGCCCTGTAACAAAATTAATTTGAAAACGTCTTAAAATCGAGCTTAAAACCCTTCGAATACTTCACAATTCATCCCCACTCACCAAAATTTTTCAGGCGCCCACCACGAGCCGGCCTGCCGCCCGCCCATTCGCCCGACGTTTAACCAGGTTCTGCTAATTTTTGTGTATTGCGTTGTATTAGAAAAAATGATTCCCATCCCAAATTAGCCACATAGTTTCGTTTAATTCGGCCAAGTGGACCTCGAAAAAAACTGAATAAATGTTCGACATCCGCAACCTTAACGCCGAAAATGGCCGATGTTTTACCACGATTACGACTTTTTAAAAAGTTTTTAGATAGTTTTTTAGCGGTACAAAAACACTATTAATAACTCTCGATTAAGTTGCTGCTAGTTGCCAAAAAAGTCAAATTTTCGGATAGAGCGGTGTTTTGACACGCTTTATATAAATAAAAGGAAATGATAATTATATCAATTGATAATAAATTAACTTATAATAAATCATAAGACCATATGAAGTTGCTTTCCAGGACCGCGACCAACTTTTGCAAGCCATCGACACCAGCATCACGGCAGCGAACATGTGGATTGCGGAAGCGACGCGGTTCAGGGAGAAGGTGCGGGCTAGTTTCGGAAGGTACCTTGAACGCACCCCGGGGTGCCTTTCGGGGTGCGTTTGGGGCGTGTTTTGGGGTGCGTTTCGGCCCCACAGGTGGCAAAGAATAGGAAGGAAAGCCGATAAGAAAAGTGTTAGTCTCTGCTTAGGCGCTATTTTTCAAATATACCTATTGGAAGTGTTTCTAAATTGTTTGTTTTACTATTCCTTAACGTGCAAACTTCACAACTTTGTATCAAAAAATATCAAAAATGCCGATTTTAACGAATATTCGAATTTGAATTTGAATTCATCTCCACTTACCAAAAATTTTTCAAGCGCCACCACCGAGCCTGCCTGCCGCCCTGCCGCCCTGCCCCGCCTTCCGCCCACCCCCTGGTCTTCTCAAGCCTGTTAAAGGCACGGTAAATCTAATTTTCAGCTTAACTAGGCCCTTGCCTATCCTGCGACCGGAAACTTTACAACCTAACCCGTGAAATCGTCGTTCAATACCGGTTTTGGATATTTTTCGGACATCCACTAGACCGTCTGTACCTCGTTCAATCAAATTTTTCAGGCGCCCGCAGCTGCCCCAGCCCCGCCTGCCGCCCACTCGCCCCCCCTCCCCCCCGGGTCTTCACAAGCCTGTTAAAGGGCAAGGTAGGTTTCATTTTTGATTTAACTAAACTCCAATTAACTTTTTTAATTTTTCTGCTTCGCGGTGTGGTAGAAAAATTATCCTCAACGCAAATTTCGCCTAGCCACAAAGTTTCGTTCAAATCTATCGAGTGGATCTCGAAATAAATGTTCGACTACGGCAACTTTAGCCCCCTGTTTAACCAGGAAAGCATTATTTTAAAAAACTCAAAGGTCCTTCGCATTATCGGGGGGGAGAAAACTGTCGCAAAACTAAAAATCATCTGCACCCCCCGACCGCACTCGCCAGTAATGCTGTCTGGGTCCTCTCTAAGGGGCCAACTTTACGGCGGGAAAACGCAAAACTGAGATGAAAAGCCGGCACACTGCTAATTTCCAACTGAACATCGTCGACCCCATCCTTCCAGATACCGCACCTGGCACGACTTCGCGGCGCTCCACGACGTCATCGAAACGACCGGGGCAAATATGGAGAAAGCTTGCGCCCTCCGAGACAAGGACGGGAAACGCATTGTGGAAGAGGTATCTTTCAGCTGGCGCTTTTAGGTTTTTTAGGGCGCATTTTAGAAATGCATAATTCGGTTCTTTCGCATTATCGGGGATCGAATTTTTTGAAAAACTTTAGGAATCGGGTTTGGTAACTTAATTGAAAATGTTTTAATAGGGTTCCTAGTAATGTATAACTATACTTCAACTAGAAAAAGTATCTAAAAACTTTAAGAAAAGTCGAAATTTTGCTCCAAAAAACTGGACTGTTAGCGGGGGGACAGATTTTTGTGCGAATTTCGTCATTGATGCTCTTGACAATTCCCTGCCAAAGAATAACACCTTATTTCAGCCGGCCGTGACGAAGCATCGCCGCCAGACGGTCGTCGAGGAATGGAACAGCACAGAAGTGCACAAGACGATGTCGACCCGCGACATGATTGTCGAGCTGACGGTAATTTACAGTGGCAATCCCGGCTAGACAGCTTTTTCAGGCCTACGGCTGGATGGCGATGCCGCCCGCCCACCCCCACGTATTTTCAAGCCTGTTAAACGGCACGGTAAATTTAATTTTCAATTTAACTAGTTTCTGCCGCCGTTTGTGAGTGTTGGAGTGGGGTTGGAGTGAGACTGAGAGTTAGAGTTAGCTATAGTGAGCTATTATATTCTTGCAAAACATCGTCCCTTTTCAGCCCCATGGGAGCGGACGGACAAGCGTCGACCCGATCCTCAAGGCCTACCGTCAGATTGCCAAGAAGCCAAAGCACTAAACCTTTTTTTATGTTACTCGCCGTTCAAATGACTCGCATTGTGAAACAAATAAACGTATCGTCGCCCCCAACATGTGTCTGCCTTTGATTTGCAATCCGACTTATTCAAAGAGTGCGGAAGAGAAACGAGTAGCCTACCTTGGCTGTGACGCACTGAAGAGGGGTTTTTCGTGCAGTTCTAGGGATCGATAACCCAGGAAAAACATAGAACTTAGCCGTTGCATGTTCGGTGCTTGCCAATTGGGCTTCTTTTGCAGGTAGCGAATAGCGGGCTCTCCCTGCGAAGCTGGAGGAGTCGGTTGCAAGACATCAGAAAGTGGTAAGATTTTTTTGCAAAGCGTGGCGGAGGCAAGTGAGTGCAGAGAGGGCGTGAGAGAGCGAGAGCGAGTGAGATAGAGTGAGAGTGAGCGAGTGGAAGAGTGACAGAGATAGCGAGAGAGAGGAGAGAGTGTGTGTATGTGCAGAGAGAGAGAGTGAGAGAGATAGACAGCGAGCGAGTCAGAGAGCCAGAAAAGGGAGAGAGAGAGAGAGAGAGAGAGAGAGAGAGAGAGAGAGAGAGAGAGAGAGAGCGAGAGAGAGTGCAGAGAGAGTGAGAGAGTTAGTCAGAGAGCCAGAAAAAAGGAGAGAGAGAGAGAGAGAGAGAGCGAGAGAGAGAGAGTGCAGAGAGAGTGAGAGAGTTAGTCAGAGATAGAATGAGAGTGAGCGAGAGACAGAGAGATGCAAGGGAGAGTGAGAGAGTTAGACAGAAAGCGAGTGAGAATGAGAGGGAAACAGAAGGAGGGAGAGAGAGAGCGAGAGAGAGAAAGAGCGAGAGATAGATCAGACGGCAAAAGCTATAATGTTTCCTCGGTATTTTGCTTTTTCAGGCTCATCCCGGCGTATGAATCGGCGCGGGACAGCACAACAAAACAAACAGCTGCAGCTACCTATGCTTCGTTGATTTATAATTTGTGTTGTGGTGACTAAAAGAATTGTTGTTCCCAGTATGCAAACTAATAAATTTCTTACGAGCAAACTACCGACAGGCCATGGGACACCTACGCTACATAATTGCGAGACAGCTGGACGTGTTGACAGCTTGCTGAAAGGGGTAAAACGAGATTCATTAGATGAGAGAGAGAACAAGCGTGAGGGGGTGCAGAGAGAGCGAGAGAGAGATAAAGAGAGAGAGAGGCCTGGCGGAAATTGCATGCAAAGTGGCAGACACAGACACTTATTAATACACAGTAGGAGTTAAATATTGCGTAATCTTAAATACTTAAGAATGTATTCCCTTAGTCTGCATACTTTCTTGCCTGTGAGTGCTCGCAAATACGCCACTTCTTTTATCTTACAAAATGAAAATCAAAACATAGAAAGAGATCCGGCGTATTCACGGGGATCACGACCCCTCTCCTTCTCCCCGGCTTGTCGCGGCCATCCGCTTCACAGTCGTCGCTCGCGGGGCCGCGGTGACGCTGGAATATCTAATTTTTCGCAATGCTGATTTGGTAAAGTGATTTGCGGAAATATGGAGTAAACTTCTATGAAGTGTGGTTTAGGCTGCTGCGTGTTACTCGCGAAAATCCTTGTCCAAACTAGTTTATTGCTAAGGGCACATAAATTACGAGGTGGTTTCCCCTTATTCCTTCTCTTTCGATGGTGCTCGGTCGGCGCTTATAGTCAGTGGACGGCGGGTGGGCGGCGCGATCGGAAGTGGTGAAATCTGGAAATGGAACGTTAAGTGGTTCTCGGTCTCGGGTAGTGATGGGGTTATTCAAATCAAATCTTGTGTCAAATCTGAGAGCTCAAATCTGAATATTTGAAGGCAAAAATTTCACTTTCAAATCGGCGGATTTGATTTGAAACCCAGTGGACGAGTTCAAATCAACCTGAGGATTTGATTAAGCCTCAGGTCCTTAATCAAATCTTATGGAGATGCCGACATGCAAAACATAACAAAATCGCGATGGCAGAGCTGGGGCGAACCGGAAATGACCTTGATTATGCATGCAATCATACAATTAGCATCCGCGTAATGAGCTATTGATTTTTTCGACTCCTTTCAAATCCTCGTTCAAATCTTCAGATTTGAACTGAAACTTCGAAAGTCCAAATCAAATCGATTTGATTTGAAGTGCTGAAACCTTATTCAAATCAAACCGGCAGATTGGATTAGGCGGATGCAAATTAGATTTGAGATTTGAATAATACCATCACTAGTCTCGGGATTCGGCTTGGGCTTCTGCAAAACCCAGATGCCCTTTGCCCTAAGGGGGCTGATGGTCCGATCACCTGGTGATCGGCACCGGAAATGTTTGTGCGAAGGTAGATTCTCGTTTCAGGCATCACAGGCCTTAAATATTGGGTGTTTATATTGGGGCCATAAGGGCCTTAAAGAGGAGAGAAGAGCTATTGTACTATGTTTTACTGAGATATTGTACTATGTATTGTACTCGGTTCTAGCATAACATGCTTCTACTGCTAATTAATAAAGGCGTAACTAGTATTTTCCTTGCGCTACGTGCATTAAATATAAAGCTAAATAATTCTTGCCTCGCGTCACACGCTTTGGGAGTTTACAATGGTTTTCAAAAGAATAATCGCCGGCAATTGAAATACGCTAGAGCTGTGTTCTAAATTGAGACCTTGAAGGGCAAAGGAAAGAAAGAGGTTTGGGTAGATGGGCCGTGATTTGTAAGTTGTCAGGAATAGCAATTTTAGGGGCTGATTGCTGTGATAAATGAAAGGCTAGATCATGCAGGCTTACCTTTGTTTCCAGATTCAGGGCGCTTCCACCGCTAGGCTCTCAAAGGCCCTGTGGCGCCCAAAGGCTTTTCTTTGCGTCGTGTTGTGTGAGATGGGCGACACGGATACGAGCAGCCTTTATTTTCTTCTAGTTCCAATAATTGGGGGTTGATGCGCGGGGATTCCGGAGAAGGCTGGTTTTGGTATTTTCGAAAGTGCGCTTGCGTCCGCACGTCGCTTGCTAGTCGACCGTACTCTCAGAGAGGGCAGTCGGCCGGCAGGCGTTGGTTGTGTGGATGACCGGCTGTCAGGGCCTCAGGCTTATATAGGCATTCCTGGAATAGGAATTTAATGCAAGCCTGAGGTCCCTTTAAGCCTTTTGGAGATGCCTTTCCCGAATGGGTCGGGGTGGTTCCGACAGGCCCCGAGTTGCTCGAATTCATGGTCTGGTGGTCGCTCTAGAATTTGTGGTTTTTGGATGCACTGTGGATAGGGTTTACCGGTAAATTACGACCATTTTAGAAGGAGGGCCCGCGCGGCTCTGTAAAGCGGGAGCGCACCTCGTTTGATCTCGATGGTAGAGGTCAGATCCGAGCATTGGGAAGTGTTCTTCATAGCGAGCCATAATCGTAGCTACAAAGATCAGTTTCAATGCAATTATACGCAAAAATGCAGTGTTCGACCGGCAGACACGTTTAAAGCCATGCTTTCGGTCCAATGTTGAGCAAAAGCAAAATTTTTCAACAAGAATTTGTTAGGTGTGTTGGCTTCTAAAAGCACACAACATTTGAATTTGGGCTGAACTCATTAGAAACACGCGTTGGCGATCGCTAGAAAACGCAAAAAAATAACTCTGACCCGCGCCAATCACTAGAAAAATTAAGCAAGATGCAGAGAACCCCGTAAGATGATTGATTTGTTTCGAAAGAAGCTCTCTACTCATCAAAATTTGAGTTTTAGGCTAATTGTTTTATAAATCTAACCTGAACGGAGGGTGCTAAATTGTCTGCCATCTCGGCGAGCTCTTCGTCCAAGGCGACTTCCTCATCTTCGGTGAGCTCTTCATCCGCCGTGACCTCGGCCTTCATGCACCAGTCGAGTTCTAAAAATTAATCCATACAGTATACATATAAAAAATATTTAAAAGGGTGGCGGGAAAGACCAAAGAACCAGAAAAAGTACTTCACAAAGGACCAAAAAGATTCAAAATGCGGACATCGCTTCCCCCCCCCCTTGTGCTCAAACCGGTTTTCTCTCAAACCAGCAATTTTTCGTTTAATTTGCGTTTTTCTTTTTTTCTAAATTTGTTTTTTCGGGCTAAAAATCGTCACTGCCTATGGAAAAACTGGCCAACTATCTCACCTTCTCTAATTACGTCACGAAACCTTTCCGGCTCGCTGTTGCGCCGGCTTCGTATGCACGCTGCCAGGCCGCATTCATGGCCGCGATCAGCTTTTTTGCTCTAAATCTCAGTCAAAGCATGGTTCATGAGACCTACTCTCTTTCCTCCTGCTGCCTGGCCTCGTTTTTTTGACCTGTGTTTAGTATTTCCTGCCTTGCCGCCAGGCTGGCTTCTATTCTTGGCATCCTCGCGTGCCTCCTGTGCCCGCCTAAAGCGTTTCGATTGCTCCAACCTTTAAAGGGGCTCGGAAGTCAAAAATTGCGTCCGATGATTGAACCTTTGATCTAACGACTTTAGCTACAATGTACAGAGCTCATGAAGTAAGCATGCCCTCAAGAATTGCGTTAGAAGCCCAGAAGACATTGATAAAAATCCTCGAATGCCAGAATAAACTATGAAGAAATTCAGTGCGTCTCAACCCCCCCCCCCCAAAGCTTAAAACTAGAGTACAAGGTCTTCAACACTGGTAACGCAGCTAGTTTTTGTTACCTGTGTGCATGTTCGCATTGCCGTCATCGCACCGGCTGATTTCTGCCATTGCGCCGGGATGCGCTAAAAACTTTGGTTCATTGATGTCGGGTGGCACCAGAAGTCCAAATACCGTATTTTCTGGAATACCCAACTTCAAATATGGGGCGCAGCTAAAATATTTGGTGCCGATGGTTTGCAGCCAGTGAATTGCTTACCGAGGTGTCATGAATGCAGTCGCTGATCTCGTCCAGGACGAGGCGCGTCGAATGTGGCAACTCGTAAATGGTGCTGCGGGCACGGCCGGCACACCAAGTGTACAGTAGGTATTTTTCGTTTTTCCTTTTCTTAAATCATTTTCAGAAATTGAGCCGGAAGCCGAGCATCTCGACTATGGTATGATCGCCTCTTCAACGAAGGCAAACATAGCCTTGGAAAAATTATCCAGTTCGAGGCTGGGCCTGAAAAGGAAGGTTGAGGTAAACGGGCAAGGCAGAGGTACGAATGTTGTAAGAATGAGATTGGAAAACTGTTTTTTTTTTGAAAGGAAACAAACAAACATAGAGAGGGGGCGAGCGAGCGAGATAGAGAAAGAGGGGGAGCGAGATAGAGAGAGAGGGGGAGAGAGAGAGAGTGAGAGCGAGAGATAGAGAGAAATAGAGAAGAGATGGGGAGAGCAGGGGGGAGAGAGTGTGCGAGCGACAGAGATAGCACCCGACAGAACAAAAACCAGAACATTTCGCCTGTAACATGAAACCAAGGTGAAAAGATATGAAGAAAAAAGCAAGTACATCTACAAGAATAAATTAAAAAAAACTAGCAAAATTTCATATAGAAATTTATCTAGTTTTGCGAATTTTAGTAAGGCTGAGTTTCCAACCTTCGCTAGCTTGAATCGGCATTAGATCTATACTTTTCAAGATTCTTGTCCTATTTAGGGAAGATGAGTAAAAGCCGCGGCGCGATTGGCCGCACGTTTATTGATTTGGCACTGTAGGCCTGCCGTGGGAAAATCGCCCCAAGCCAGACAGCAATTTCGAAGGCAGGCAGAGAGGGTTGTTGCCGGCGACTAAGTTACCACTAACAACCGCTAACAAGTTACAAGCTTCCGCTTTAAACCCGCTAAAACCCCACGAGCCATATTAACTCCACGGCTTCTCGGAGCGGCCAGCATATGAAGGCCGATCTTACCAAAAGCTAATAAAAAGAAGGCCACGAATTTAAATGCCACATAATTCCAAATGAAGGCAGTGAAATGGCAAAAATGGCAAATGGCAAAATGGAGCCTTGCACTTTGCGGTGGGCGGGGGGAAAGGGTTACGGTATATGGGGAGACTGGGGCGGAGAGATCCTTTGTCGGGGCGACTAATCAAACAAAAGTAATGGGGGTGTTTTTGGGGGCGGTGGTAAGCTGGAAGGAGAGGCATAAGTAAGAATGAGCGAGAGAGAGAGAGAAAAAGAGAGAAATAGAGAGAGAGAGAGAGAGAGAGAGAGAGAGAGGGGAGAGAGAGCGAGAGAGAGAGGGAGAGTGAGTTTCGCACCTAACCTGGTCACCTTACGCCAGCAACACGGTCGCTAACTTATAGGAGATCGGTCTGGCGACGATAACTTTTGATGATCTTTTTTCGGCATCCCTTTTGATGTCCTAGAAAATTTATAGGGGCTCTTGCCGGAAATTTTTGTTTGTAAAAAAAAGCATAAATGACCATTTGATCACGAAGCACAGATTCAATTGATTTTTACATCAAATTTCGATCGGATCTGTTTCACAAAATTGTTAGTTTTCTCGCGCGATATTAAACGTTATCTAAAAAAAGAAGCGTCCATAATGCAGATCTCTTATCAATGAGCTGTTTTCATGGTTTTGCGCCTAGAAATTAAAATGTCCAGTCAAGTAGTAGAGCCATATCATAAACCAATGCGCCCAGTAAATGGTTTAGAGGCAAGGCCTCCTGCATCGGAATCGATTTATGATGGCGGGATTGGTTGGATGGCCCAAAAAACAGAGGCGAGAGAACCCTTGCCGAGCAAGAGCCCGAAGCTGGCGGCGCGAAGAGGAGCGTGAAGAGGAATGTATTGATTTGGCACTGTGGACCTCTTAGGAAAATCAACGCCCACCCCAGACCATCATTTCGAAAGCAGCGTGTTGACGCCGTGACTCGTGAAGATGGAAATTTCGTGGAAATGTAGGGCAAAAGCTAGCGTAGATATACAGGGTGTCCCAAAAAAAACGACCCATCTGGCATTTCGCCGTGTTACATCCAATCGGTCCCAAATTTGGACCAGAGGTGTATCATACCCTAAATAACCACAATCCTGACTTATAGCCCTGTAGCTACAGTAGTTCTCGAGTTATAGCAAAAACAAACTTTATTATCCATTTTTCATAGGCTTTTCGTGGAATTAGACCCCCTAAACATTAAGTGAAAATGATCCGGTAGGCCTTCTTTACCTAAAGAAATTTTTTCCAGAGTAAAATTGATTAAATAAGCTTCAATTTAAGCGATTTTCACAACGCAAAATTACCCAGGTTCTTAAGCGAAATTAGGGATTCGCAGCCGGAAGTCGATGCAAATCGATGCAAAGTCCAAAAGATAGCCAAAAAAAACTGTTTAGAATTGCGTGAAAAACAGTATTTTGGCTATAACTCGAGAACAACCGTAGCTACAAGGCTATAAGTCAGGATTGGTGTTATTTAGGGTCTGATACACCTTTGTTCCCTATTTGGGACCTATTGGATGTAACACGGCGAAATGCCAGATGGGTCGTTTTTTTGGGACACCCTGTATAGGGCGCCCCAAGAAAATTCCCCCCTTCTAGCGGTCGCAATTACTCATCGCAATCGCTCAGCAATATGACAATTTTGTTCTAAAATTTGTGAATTAACACCTTTAAATTTGAAAACGAAAAGCGCTTGTTTTCTCATTTTTCCTAGAGCCTTCGATAGATGAATAAACTGCCAAAATCGGATGCTGGAGGGAGTCAAATCCTATACCTTCGTCTTAAGAATCACTCATTAAGAGCCGGTTTAACTTGGACTTTTCATAAATCTTTTTCCCAATTTTACATTATTTCAAATCTTTTGAATCTTATTTCAAATCGTCGCTATGAAATCTTAGCCTTAAACTTTGTAGTCGAGCTAGCAGGTTACGGTATATCGGGGAGCCGGGGCGGAGAGACCCTTTGTCTGGGCGGTCCAATTTAAGAAACGAGGGTCTGGTTGGATTGCATAAAAGAAACAGCTACGTGGAGACAGGGAGTCGCAAGGATTCAAAAATGGAGGAGACAAGCGAAGAGGGAATGAAAGGGAGAGAACGAGAGACAGTGAAATAGACCCGTGAGAACGAGAGCGAGAGAGAGCGAGAGAGAGTGACAGAGAAAGTGAGAGAAAGAAAGAGAGTGAGAGAGAGAGAGAGAGAGAGAGAGGGAGAGAGAGAGTTCGCGAGGGGAGAGTTGGAACGAAATTTGGGGAAAGGTAATAGTTTTGGCTTACGAGTGATTGACCCATCGGACGCCCAAAGGTGAGCTGTCTAATCTCGTAAGGCAAGTGACAACTGGGCATTGCTTTGCGCAACCTTCCCTCAAGAGATTTCACACCTAATCTGCTCTCCTTATCCCATCTACCCGATCGTTGACAGCAGAGTCTCTGAAAAAGGAAAACTTACACTCGAGTCGAAAACAAAACAAGCAAACCTAAAATTGATGAAAAAGATTCGATAAATAAAAATTACAACGCTAAACTTACATAAAACTGAAAAAAAACATAAATCGAGAAGGCGCTTCGGCGGCTCTACGTCCAAACGACAAGCTGTATAATCCTAACAGTTACCGGTGTCAAAAAGGCAACCAGAGCCCAGGTATTGAATACAATCGCAGCATTCATAAGGAATTATGCCTTTTTATAAAGCTTAAAACACGGTAACGCACGCAGGCAGTTGTGTCAATCGGCTACGAAACGCTACAGTCCACGCTTTCCGTCCTAACTGGGCCAGGGCACAGCTCGATTGAAGAATGGCTGAAAAGAGCCTCAGCGACGCCAATGTATCCGAAAAAAACTACAAAAAGCATTAACAACGGCGATAAACTTAGCTCTAGCATTTCCAAGCAAAAAGCAAAAGCTTAGAAAGCCGGGGATCGAACCGGAAACAACGAAAAGGTTATCAGAACGCGGTTATAAACCTACTTCTAGCCTTTCCAAGCAAAAAAAACGAAACAATGCGGAGCTGGGGACTCGAACCCACGATCGAATTTCCTGAAACCAGCGCCTCAGACCACTCGGCCATGCCAACATTACGCCCGGGGAGGGGGCTGGGATGAAAGAGGATATCCGTCTCTTTCTCAATAGCTACTCTCTTCGAAAGGCTCCAGGCAGGCTAAAACGCGCCCAAAAACTAATTTTGCATCATAAATTTGCATGGAAAATTACAAACCGGAAACGGGCGACCGGGAAAATTCGAAAATGATTTTTTCATTCTACAACCATCAGCCGAACTCTCGGGCCGACTACGCTGCTTCAACGAGATGTCGACCAGCCACATCCACTGCCAGCAGTTTTTCGTCAGTTTTCTTTGATTATTTTCTGATCCCCCTTTGTAAAACAGCAAAATTTTGGCCTTGTTCTGCGGAGTCAGAATACTTTAAAGCGGAAAATCAGCGTCGATGAAGTAGAAAAATTGAAATTTCGAGATGTTAGCCGTTCGGCGGAGAAACGAAGTCAGCCCCTCCCCCGCCCCCGCTAAGGAACCAGAACCTGAGAATGGCCGGAAGCGACTCTGTGATTACAAGCTTTGTTCAGTTCGTTCTCGGCGCGGGCCGAGACGGCTGATGCGGCCGCAACGCTGCTGGCCGTGTCGGCAGCTGCTGCTGCTCTAGCTGCCGCTCCAGCCGCTGCTGCTCAACCCGTTGTCCAGCCAACTGCCGCTTCCGCTCTAGCTGCCGCTCCGCCAGCTACCGCCCAAGCTGCTGCTCAAGTTGCCGCTCAACCCGTCGCCCAGCCGGTCGCTGCTCAACCCGCCGCTTCCAACGTCGTCAGGCCGGCCCGCGCACGGGCTGCCCGGCCCGATCCACATCAAGCGCACATGCGCCGTGCCCGCACGCCGGTGCGTCGCCCGACGACGCCCGCCCAGCCTGGCCCCTCAGCTGCTCCACGTGGACGCCCGCAGCGTGTACGACAAGTATGAATTTTGTCAACCAGCCGTTCCCTTTTTAGGTTGGCTACTGCTTCTGTGGCGCGCACGGCATCCTCTACGACGAGTACGGGCAGCCGGCGTGCAAGCGCTGCAAGCTTCAGTTCTAGTGAGTGTCTTTTCCTGCAGCGCATAAAGCTCGTTTTTTGCAGTGACGCTGACCGGTACGTCAGGCGCGACGGTGCCGTCTGCAGGCCGAGCTGTGGGAATCCTAGTGAGTTTTTTCCGTTTCGCTAAAGTTTTGCTCAAAAAACCTTCAAATATTCCCCCTTTAGACCTCTGCGCTCTCCACCGCCTCCTCAACTTCGAGATGATCGGCATGCGGCGCGACTTGATCAGGCGCCGGTATTAAACCTTCTTCAAATGTGAAGCTTTTGTATAGCAATTGCTCTTTGTAACAATTATCGTCCCATGAATGTTTTGTTCGCTTTCATGATGTGATATAACTAAATTAATTGGAAGTGTTGTGGCGTTAATAAAGTTTTGGGTTTGGAGCACAAAAACGGATACCCTTTGAGTTCGGCGTAAATGATGCGTGCGCGGTGCTTGTGGTGCAATTTGCTGCACGCCGTACAAAAGGACGAACTGACATCGCACGGCCAAAATCTTCCTTGCGGCAAGCGGTGTTGATGCTCTTGTGTTGCAACGAAGTTCATGGCGGATTGAAAATAATTCGACATCGAGAGGATCCTGCAACAAAATTGGAGGGCAAAACACAAACCTGCTCGAGTTGACGGTGTAGCGGCGACCAAATTGTTCCGGTTTTAGATTGCCGGCTTGGCCCGTCAGCTTGTACATATTGCATACGCTGAACCGACACGTGGAGCAAAACGAAGCCTAAACACCAAATCTTGAACGAGCTGGGGAGGTATCCTTGTTAATCTAGGCTTAAGCTTAGACTAAGCCTCAGTACCTCGTCCTGGCTTGG